CCCTAGGTTCTCATGTTGTATTAGCAAATGTATCTACCATTCTTTCCTTCTTCTTTTCTTGATGTCAACATATATTACAATAAAGTATTAATGTCAATTGTCTGTTCACGTCCATTTTCAATATGTGCTTCATATTTATAGAAGCCAACTGGTTATTTGAAGGAAAGGCGCAGATCCATGACAAGGAAAATCATTTAAGAAAACTTTTTTTTTGGTGTACAGTGTATTTATTTTGAGCAGGTGAAAATGTTGTTCGTTTTTTTCTCTATACATATAATTATTGGCCGTTCATCATACGACGCAGTAGTTATAATATATATATGCTATACAAAAAGATGTAGAGTTTCCCCCTCTGAAATGATTTTGGCCTTTCCGCCCTTAAATACCATACGTCGCAAGCATATATATACATGTGTGTACATATATATATTTGCAAAATTAAATATAAGAGAAAGGGAAAACGAAAAATACAAGCAAAATCCGGGGGAATAATGGAAATTTTACTAAAGTTAAACCGAATGATGAAATGACGAAATTGATAAGAATTATTAATAATATATAAAGCAAGAGCATTCGCAAAGTGTTTTTATGGAGCAATTTCAATTTATTTTTTTTCTTTTTCAGTTAAATTTCATGTACACACATATATTGGTTCATTTTTTTTTTTTCGGACCTGTATCAAGTTACACTGTTTTAAGGGGGTACCTGTAATTTTGTCCAGGCTTCCCTTTTTTTTCTTTTTTTTTTTTTATTATTTTCCATTATAAAATTTTATATAATTGAAAAATGTGTAATTAGTACCTTTTAAGCACATGAATTCCATGTAATTATTAAATAGGTTTTTAAATGTGATCATTTTGCCAAAAATAAGAATTTAGAGGGGGGAAATAGTTTCCCCCTGTCGCCCGCGAAAAATAATTAGGTACACACATAAGTACGAATTAATAATACCAATGAACAACATACGCTAAGAGCAATAGTTTATTCCATTTCGTCCGAGTGCCTAAAGAAATATTTATTGGGACTAATAAAATATTACTGTTTTTTTTTTTTTTTTTCTTCCTTTATTCCTGTGCTCATTATTCAAGTAGAGTTAGAAGTTGCGTTACTGACAGTGTAATTCGTTGTCTTTGGTGATCATTGCAGAAAAAAATAATGTAAAACAAAAGGCCAGTGCTTGAATTATATTGTACCATACCCCTTTCCTTTTTTTCTTTCACATGCTCTCCTAATGCTTCTGGCGAGGATGGGATGAATAGCCTTAAATGCCTATTTGATAAAGGAAGACCCCCTTTTGTATGAAGCTTTGCTGCCATATACCAATTAAATGTGTACGGACGTGGATAGTTGGGTGTACGGGTACAAGTTGTACAAAGGATTCACGGATTGTGTCAAGTGTTGGTGGGTTTAGCGTTTGAATGATATCACACGTTAAGGCATACGGTCTCTATAGAGAATTTATAAATAAGAACACATACCGTACTATGATCAACATGCAAAATGCACAAAGAACTGTTATGGACGGAATTGGGAAAAGACACAGTTATCATAATAAGCGAATGAATAGGAAGAGAAGGATGTAGTGCACAGAAAAAAGGGTCGTGAACATTCATATATTACAGGAAGTGACGGATTCAATATTTTTATATATATTTTACTAATTCTTGATTTACATATATGTATTATTGGTGTAAAAAGGGAAGAATGGGACACACACACAAAATTATGATCTTGCACAGAAATCATAGCGTGGGTTAGAAACATTTGTAATTTTTCACAAATGAACGTCTTAATTGTTCTACGCGACACATACAATATTGTCATGAAATGTGTTAAACGTCCGTAATGTTGTTAATTTAGAAATAATAGGTTTCCTATGATAACAGAATATCTATCATATATCATTATAATATGTTCTTAAAATCATAAGTATTATTATGGATGTTAAGGATATTGCAGAACGGAAGGAACTGTACATAGTATATTATAATTGATCAAAAAATATATATTAATTTATATAAAATAAGCGCTGCATTTTTTTTCCTTCGTTGATAAGCTTGCACACAGTAGAACATACTTTGCACGAACTAAATCTTGAACCCTAAGTCCGTTTCTCGGTAGAGCCTGTCAATAAGGAATACCGGGGACCGTAAGACCTGAAATCCTCATGCCTATATTACGGGTATCAATTTGGATGTATATGACTTCTAACAAAATTGGTTCTTCAAGCAGAGCTATGCATTCGTTCTTTGTCTGAATGGTGACTTCTTTCCATGATTCTCTGAAATCATATAAAATCTTCTCGAATTCATATGTGCTCAATTTTTCCTTTGCCACCATGGTACGAAATACTTCATTAACATGTTCGTTTTGTTTTGTCAAGTTATTATTAATTATCTCTTCACATTTTTTCCATTTGTTGTTATATATTTGGACAGATGCAATAGTTTGCTTTTTTTGCAACTCTATAAATTTTTCTTGCAAAGATTTTTTAAGGGCAAGATATTTACTTCTTTCATTTCTGTATGATTGCCAATATAGGGACAGTAATTCCCATTTATGAGGTTCTTCTTCCATTTGTTCTAATCTTTTATTTATTTCAGAATCTCTCAATCGTTCATCGAAACAAGTCATTTCGTAATGAAATGCAATCGAACTATCGGTTCCATTTCTGTCTAATTTTCTAGAATCCCCAGATAAGAATTCATCCCTTTTATCTCTATGACCTTTTTCATTATATTTTACTGA